GCCACCGCCACCGCCACCGCCACCGCGCTGGTCGCGTGCGTGAGCTTAGGAACGTCCCAATATCAGAAAAATATTGAAATCATACCTTCTATCATTATTAGAATCTATTTTTTATGAAATAATTTATTTTTATAAATAATGAAATACTAAATATTTTACTCAAAGTTATTTGAATTATTAGTCTGCCATATATTGGATCAGTCATTTTGAATTAAAAAATTTTGATTTCTGATTTGTAATCAGTAACTCGAAAAATCCCCGGGTATAAAGTTTAAAAAAAAATCGGTTTAATACAAAAATTCGTGACACAAAAAGTTAATATCTTTACATTCTACTTTATTACTTTTTTGTATACAACAAGACAACGATTTATGTATGTATTAGTTAGCTTTGAGATAATGCAAAATCATTTCATGATTAATGCAAAATCAATTCATGATTAATTTATCGATTTGTGAACATTTTGTCATGTCGGCGTACCGGCGCGCTGCTTTCTAATAACCGACGAAACTCACTTTCAATCTTTAACCGCGATGTTAACTGCTACAAGATCATGTGATATAACAAACGCCGAATTAATATAGTTGCGTAATCATTCGAGTTAAAAATATTTAAATAAAGATTGTCAAATGCGCATTTTTACATCTGTTAGTTGTTATTTATTACATATGTTCTAAAAAATCGTTAAGTATTCTTTCCAATATAGATTTAAATTTCAGTCAATTTAATAAATTTTTTGTAAAAGTTGAACTTTTGATTTTTACATACTTCAGACCCTGCATACGTTGTAATATACATTAAATTTGAAGACATTATCTGTTGAAATTATTTAATTCTATCGACACGATCCATTCGAGATCTGATATACATAATAATGTATACGTTGGAAAAATAGTCGAAATTTTGAAAAAAATTAATTATTCAGTATGAATTACTTATTACAATGCTTATAAATTGAATTTAAAAAAATTTTTTTAACGTGGTTCCAATAAAATCAAGTCTGAAAAGGTTAAACAGAATCCGCTTTAATAGAATTTTAATTTGGGGATTCATACTCTTCTGGGTTTTCAAATTAAAATTTTTTTTATTATAATTCCATTTCTGTTTCACAAATGTGACTATATGTTTTTAATTATAGTCTCTTAATTGATGTAATTACAATTTTCTAATCGCAATTACATTAGCCAAGAGACTATAATTAAAAAGACAGTCATATTTATGGAATAGAAACGTCTGCAACCAATAGCAGATATCTCATTGAAGCAACTGATGCAATTAATAGAAATCTGATTTGTTATTGGCAAATGAAGAGAAAAGATAGCAATGAACTTATTTCTTGAAAATTATTCCTGAAGTCGTATCAATACGCGCGCGGAATAATTTCACGTTTCACATATGCTGCGATTCAATTGCAATCAACGAGCAGTAAACCGTAAATTTTTCTTACATGATGAAGGCAGACGGTAAACGTTCCAGGCTTGCTGCAGAATTAATTGACTTTCACTGTATAAATCTTCTTACCGTTGACTTATTGTATTGTATTTTCCATTGCATGTTTTTAATATAGATCATTAAATCTGATTTTTGCTTTAATTATCTTAATACGACTATAAAAAAAATAGATTGAAAAAAATAGAGAGAATCGCAAATCCGTATTGCGAAATGGCCAATATACGTTATTCATATAGATATAAATATCAATCTAACATATTATATAACATTTATATTACTAAACAAGACAGATGTGCGTTACTCGCGTACTATTTAACTTTCAATATAAAGACGTCTCTAGACGATATGGCCAACTTATGTCAACATTAGCATACAAATATCATATATGACATACATAATTATCCATATTGAAAGTAGTCAACATTTAGCGAATGTGTGCAAAGTTGGCTTATACATTGGCCATACCGTCTAGAGGCGCCTTTAAATACAAAAAGTACACAAATATACAAGTATTTAAGTACGCAGATTAATCACAATAATCGAATTTTTGTGAGTTGTCAGAACATCTTGTGTTAACAATTACTATCACAGTACGAAATAAGCAAAGCGAGAGAACCAATCAGAATCGTGGAAAAGGGGCAACAATTAATTCAACTATTGTGATTTAACACGCAAATTTTATTATAGGAAGAAGAGAGAGAATATTTTATAACATTTAATTTATTGAACTTTTAAATTTCGAATGGAACTAAAAATTAATTCATCATAAAATTATATTTGATTTTATTTTCGAATAATCTCATTTTATTAAAAATGAAAATTATTTAATAAAAATAAATATAATACAAAATAAGATTACATACGAGAAGGTTTAATCATATAATAACTCAAAATACATTGCAACAAATTTTGATCCATTTTTTATTTTTCAACAAGTAATGAGTATTTCTTACACTGAGGGATCTTTGCACTGAGAAAAAGAATATAATTTTTTAAAAATTTCATCACTTTTCCATTTTTTATAAATTCTGTTTTGAATTAAGTAATAAAATAGTTATGTAATATATAGCTGTAAGGAATTTAAATATGTTTTACAATAATGTTTGAAAATAAATATAATGATATAAAGTCTCTTTTATTGTTAACAATTTTAAATGATATATTAAAATAATAAAATTTATTAGTAATATTTAATGTTAAAACATTATATTACTCAACGTTTCTGTTTCTTAATATATGAATAATTCTTATGTATCTTATTTCGTAAAGTAAGAAAAGAAAAAGTTATAAATTGTTTAAATTTGTAGAATAAATTTTCGAAAATAAAATTTTTCATTTCTTAAAATCTATGATGGAATTTTTTAAATTTTATTCTTTTTTAGAGTAGCTACAAATATATAAAAATCATTCAAATATTGAAAAACAGAAATGTTGTAACACGATATAAAATATAACAAAAAATATAACACATATATTCTTACCTATCGATCATTGTTCCACAAGAGAAATTGAGTTTGTAGTCATGTGAGCGGAAGTACGAGAAGAGAAACAAATATTCAAAAAAATATAAATTAAGCACGAAAATGCACACCTGTGTTTACACAATGCAAGACACACTTTGCGGAAAGTAGTATGTGTCTTAGCAGTACTATGGTCGTCGGTATACTGAATGGAACGCGTTGCTTCGACTGTGCCTTCACCTCGAAATGATCGTCGAATCAGCGAGACGCAGGTCGTTGCGAAAATCGCATGCATGTATATCCAGGATCCTCATATCCTCACGTGTACGTTACACTCTATTGTATCGCCCGCACAAATGTATGGGATGATGTACATGAAAATAGTTCTCCATTGAGTTAATGCTTATAAGAATTTTATTGATAGTAACAGAATAATGAACATACAAAAAAATTCTTTCAAATCATAATAGTAAAAGAAAGATTAATCAGTCTAAATAAGTTGGCAATAAGCTCATAATCTTATATAATAAAAAATGAAATAAAAAACTAAGTCAAAAATTTTTACGTTTTACATATAATTTTCATAAATAAAAAAATTGATACTCTTTTAAATGATTATTTTATATTTATATAAAAATATTAACATAATGTTATCGATATTTTGATATAATTAAAATATGAAATATTTTGTAAAATGTTTTCTTTTGGATAATTTAACTGTAATATTCAAACATTGGTGCATGAGGTATTTTTCTATAATATGCGTTTTGGCATTTTATGCAATTAATTTATATGACATCAACATATATATGTATTTGTACTATCTTAAATTAAATACTTATAAAGAAAACATCTTGTAATTTCAGAAACTTAAAATTTCTCATCCAAAATTATTCATAGTTATGCGAAATTAACAGTTCTATTTACTGAAATTTAATATCATCAACATGACTCGAACGAGAGACACTATTTTTTTTAAATAACTCATATTTTCTAATAAGTTTAATAAATATCTATTATATGGTGTGCGGTAACATTATGTACTTTATATTTAATGACCATATACATGCAGATAGAGTGATGCAAATCAGTATAATCTTTTGACAAAAATAAATATTAAAATAATATTTCTTATACAAATGTTTTGTTTTCAAAACCATTAATTTTTTAAAAATCTACTATTATTTACTTTTTGAAACAAGGTACAAGAAAGGCATTAAATAAAGGTGTACTTCCTTTCAAGTCTAAACTTTTTTGAGAAATAGGACATACAGAGTGCCCCGGAACAAACATTTGTCCTTAAAATCTCATATTCCTAACTTATTGCTAAGACGATTCTTCCGTTATCAAAATTTTATTCGATACTTAGTTTTTAAATTATAAGGAAAAATATTGGTAAAGGTGCAATGGAGGGTCATCCTCTTAAAAATCGATGAAATTATACTCATTCGACGCATTTTTCCATAAAACGAAAGAATCTGATAGAAAAAAGCGTCGCTCTGCTCCGCGAACCGAGATATCAAGCGTTATAGGCCTTCTACAATAACCCGCAAGTCGGAACGTCAGAAGTCTTAACTAGTCTTAACCAAGTCGTTTAAGTTGGCTATTGGCCAACTTCACCGATTATGACTTAAGATCGCTTAGAACTTCTGACTTGCAGCTTATTGTAGAAGGCCCATTAAAGTTCACGACTATTCAGGTTAGAATATCTGTCATGGGCCTTGTTTACACCGACGATTCAATCCGGGTCAGGGTACTTATCACAGAACAAGTCGGAATCGATTCCGGTCGGGAATATTCAATTATTCCATAGATTTCTATTGTGTTTTTTAGGGAAAACGGAATAATTCCGATCGGAATCCATTCCGACATATTTCATGATAGAAATTATTCCGTTTTCCCTAGAAAACACAATAGAAATTTAGGGAATAATTGAATAATTCCGATCGGAATCAATTTCGACTTGTTCTTTGATAGGTACCCTGAATGCAAGAATCAGCCAACTGCAGTCGAGCATTCCCCTGTTACAGTCGAATGACAAGGGAATGCTCGACTGCAGTTGGTTGGTTCTTACATTCCGACTCGGATCGAACCCTCGGTGTAAACGGGTGGCACCGAGTTGGACACGGCTCAATTGGACACGAGCCACTCACAGCGCTTGAAACTACAAAGCTCCTAAGCACCGGTCGCTGTGATTGGTGGTGACCAATCGAGACGTGGTCAATAGGGATCACTCCATCTACAGTTACCATGTTTATTTCAAAGAAATGTTGGATTTAAATTTTGAAGAAAAACACAGAAGTACTGTCTAAAAACACAAAAAGTCACTCCTTTAAAAACACAAAAATACTGTTAAAAACACAAAAAGTCACTGCTTTAAAAACACAAAGAGTCATTTTTAGAGCGACTATTATCAACGCCGATTAACTTAATCGACGATTAACTCAATATGTAATGTAGTCAACAGCAAGACTACAGTCTTGTCAGACCACTCGAGCGGATCGGACGCGTTCCCTCTCGTCTCGGGTGTTGCATCATCTCGATAATATTTTTGGAAAGCCTTGCCAGCTTTGACTGAGCCGTTATATCTCACTTTTGCGGTCCCCTTATCCGTCTTGGCGCGCGGCCGTGCGGCGTGGAAGCGTCGTAGGGGTGGCACCCAGTTGGACACGGCTCAATTGGACACGAGCCACTCACAGCGCTTGAGACTACAAAGCTCCTAAGCACCGGTCGCTGTGATTGGTGGTGTCCAATCGAGCCGTGGTCAATCGGGATCACCCCCTCGCCCGGTTCGAGGTGGCCGGTCCATTTGACGTGATCTGGCCGTATCGACCTCCTTTTATCATCTGGAGGCGGGAGCCATTAAGTAAAGAAGAAGAAGAAGAACAGCAAAACTGTATATCGTTCTTAACCTTATCTTTTTGTGATATAATTCTCTCTCTGCGTTGCTATACTTAATTGTGATAAAAGTAATGAAAATCTTCTATCTATAATGGTAATTCTGCTGATTGAGTTAATCGTCGATTAAATTAATCGGCGTTGGTAACAGTCGCCCTTAGACAGTAATTTTGTGTTTTTAGACAGTACTTTTGTGTTTTTAAAGCAGTGACTTTTCAAGCAGCGCATGCTCGCATCGCAGTGTTAGTGACCATGACAGGTATCCTAACCTGAATAGTCGTGAATTTTAACGCTTGATATCTCGGTTCGCGTGGCAGAGCGACGCTTTTTTCTACCAGATTCTTTCGTTTTATGGAAAAACGCGTCGAATGAGTATAATTTCATCGATTTTTAAGAGGATCACTTTCCATTGCACATTTACCAAAATATTTAACGAATTACAGGACGCGTTCGGAAGGTAGGCAGGGATAGCGCAACTCATCAGTTGCTTTCCATTTATATACAACTGAAACTGAGTCTGAAGTGAGCTGAGTATTTTATACTCAGATTAGTGACGTCACTACTTGCTTACTTTGGTAAAAAGTTATCACATGTCAACACAGGTTCATAACCTCAGTTTTTACGAGATTCACTAAAGCACACGGTCTCGATTTTGTGCAGATTATGGGTAAAAACTCAGTTGAATCTCACTTATCAGAATGCAAAAGGAACGCGCATTCAACTGAGTTATGACGTCACAAGTGAGAATTATCTGAGAATCGGTGTAAATGGAAAGCAGCTATTGAAAACCTTAATCCGTATTGAAGTTAAAATTAACCGACTTGCGTAATCAGTTTCTAAGCGGTACAGACTTAACTGAGAAATCTTAAATGAACTTGCGGAAGAAATTTGTCAAACCCAAAAATATCGTTGCATCTCCGTAACACTACGTAGTTGCGGAAATTGTCTAATCGCGTCTGTATGTCGCGAACTGATCATAATTTCATCGTGTGAAATAATGTATCCGAGATCTCTATTCGTTTGCGCAGAACATTGGAATTTACATTCGGAAATATTTAGTTCGAAACCGTACATTCACGTCAGAACATCTCGAAGTTTTCATATTCGCCTCTATTGTATTCAAAACAATCATAATATCGTTTCTGTAGACAATGGCCTTGTTTTCACGAATAAACGGCAACAGAATATGAACTAATCTCTTTTAGAATTTAACCAAAGCCTCACGAAAACCGAAAGGTAAACGAGTGTACTCGTATTGTCCTTCGTGCGTGGCGAATGAGAAATACTTCATGTGATCTCGTCGACCTTAACTTGATGGAATCCATCACGAAGATCGAGGAGAGTAAAGACTGACTTATTACCAAGGAGTGCTACGTAGTCCTCAATAATAGAAAATGGATATTTCTGTTTTAAAACTCGCTGGTTATAAGGATGAAGATCGACGCATAAATGTAGACGTCCATCTTTCTTTTTTACGGGGACAACCTGCGCGCAATAGAGAGAATTATTTCTCTTTATGATTCCCCGATTCAAAAGATCATTCGTAATTTTTTGAATTTGCACTTTTCCGCTATGCGCGAAACGGCGAGGTACATAAGCGAAAATTGAGTCGTTTCTAAGACGCACTTTGACTTTGTAATCATCACAAAATTCTACGACCTTTGAATAAACGTCGAGAAGTAGTTCTTTTAACTTGTTAGTACAATCGGAACCGAAATTAGTTTCGATTTCGCTAAATCGATTATCGTTGTTATTAACCTCTCTAAGCATTCAAGTATGTGTAAAAGCGTTTCTAGAAACGCGCGCGAAAACGTGTCTTTCGATTCTTTCGGCGGATTGTATATCGTCATAATTTTGTTGAGAAAATCTCGACCAACAATGAGATCAGTACAAAAACCATTATCTTTTAGTATATTTAACGTAATACTGAACTTTTTATCTAATTGTTTGAAAGTGACGTTCGTATCGACGGGACCGACTATCGCGACCTTCTCACCATTCAACGCACGATAGATGAGTTCCGGAACCGTAATCGAATCTTTATTACATTCAAAAAACTTATTAAAGACAGGAAACTTTATAAATGAGATCAGACTACCCGTATCTACGAATGCGCGCAAATTGCACTTAACATTGTTCAACGCGCTAACCTCTAACACGTAAGTTTTTTATATTAATTTTTCTACCGTTAGATTAAACGTGTGCTATCACCGAATTCTCGGTAATTACCACGTCGGCGGACACTGTAACGATTGGAATCGAAGAGGTTGCAGACACTGACGTAGAAGTGGACTGCTGTGA